TACTTCAGTTCAATCAGAAATTTACCCACCGTGTGAATTGTGCGACGTTTCGCCGTAGATTTTTCCATGTAAACCCGAATCGAAATTTTGACCCTATGTTGAACCTTGAATTCTACATCACAGTAGGAGCTAAGATAGCAAAGTGAGTTTAATTCTAATGATATAATTTACTCCTACTTTGACCATGATGATGTCTGAAGTTTCCGCTTTCGATTTCTTTAGCGTCAAAGTAGGTTTAGTTGTGAACCTCTATTGAAGCATTAGCTCTTACATAGAATATATGTATTTTGTAGAATTCAAGGTTCTCAACATAGGATTAAAATTTCATAACATAGGATTAAAAACTCGGAAATGAGCATCAATATCGTCAAAATAGCGCGAGTCGGAATTTTGATGCTACTTTGACGCTCTTAAGGATAGTTTGCGCCTACTTAAACGGTTTATAGCCTAGGTAAAATCTACTTTGACGATATTGATACTCATTAACTTCTCTTTTGAACCTTGAATTCTACCTTGTCAAAATTTTGACGCTCTTAAAAATAGATTGAGCCTATTTAAATAATCTACAAGGTGAAACTTATTTTGACGATATTGACACTCATTTTCGAGTCGAAATTTTGACCATATATTGAACCTTGAATTCTACACCGCAGTAGAAGCTAAGATAGCAAAGTGAGTTTAATTCTAATGATATAATTTATTTTCCCGAGTCGAAATTTGGACTCTATGTTGAACTTTGAATTCTATAAAATACATATATTATATGTAGTAAATATATATATTCTATGTAGTAAATACATATATATATATATATATATATATATATATGTTGAACCTTGAATTCTATAAAATACATATATTCTATGTAGTAAATACATTTATTTTATGTAGAAGTTTCAACAAAGATTCAACAAAGATTCGCAACTGAACCTACTTTACTTTCTAAGATTCTATTATACAACCTACTTTGACGCTAAAGAAAGCGAAAGCGGAAATTTCAGACATCATCAGGGTCAAAATTAATTCTAATGATATAATTAATTTCTACTTTAACCCTGATGATGTCTGAAATACATGAAACAAATAAAACGTATATTTTGTATGCTATTTGACGTTTCTGTTTCGATATTTATTAAATTTTTTAAATATTTCTATAAAATACATATATTCTATGTAGAAGCTAAAGCTTCAATAGAGGTTCGCAACTGAATCTACTTTGTCATCTAAGATCCTATTATTATACGCTACTTTGACGCAAAAGAAAGCGAAAGCGGAAATTTCAGACATCATCAGGGTCAAAGTAGGAGTAAATTATATCATTAGAATTAAACCTACTTTGCTATCTTAGCTTCTACTGCGGTGTAGAATTCAAGGTCCAACATAGAATCAAAATTTCGACTCGAAGGTTTCATCTAGGCGCAAACTATCGTTACACGGAAAAAAAGATTTGTTAATATATGAAGAACTAAAAGTATTAATTGCAGGAGCAAATTTTCTTGCTTTCGTAACAAAATTATTTAATTGTGATAGCTAAAAGATTTGCTAATATGTATATTAGCAAATCTTTTAGCTATCACAATTAAATAACTTTGCTATAAAAGCAAAAGAATTTGCTTCTGCAGCTAATATTTACACGAAAAAAAAGATTTATGGACAACTAAAAATATTAGATGCAGGAACAAATTTTCTTGCTTTCATAGTAAAGTTATTTAGTTGTGATAGCTAATATATTAGCAAATCTTTTTTTCCGTGTAAGAGCGTCAAAGTAGCATCAAAATTTCGACTCGGGAATTTTGTGAAATTTTCAACCTTTCGATACGACTATCGCTATTCGATACACGCGATTATTGGCGCGGAGTGACCGATAGATTTGAAGCGAACGATAGCTCACGTGCGCGCGTGCTCGGAGATTTATTGAACGAGAGTCCGGAAATGGGCCGCAACTCGCGGATCTGGTTCTTTGCTATTCAAGCGGCTCGAGCGTGCTTTAAAGCCTGTTTAAATACGCGGCCATTCATTTTCCGCTTTCTAATGAATGAGAAACGGCTCGAGTGTCGCGGCACAAAGCTCGCGAGACTTCGTCCGTCTGTTGTCCGGCGAGGAGACAAAGTACACACTCCGGAGATCATACGGCGGTCTGGTGTGCCGTGAACCGCGCTCACGCACGCACACACACACACACACACACACACGCACGCGTGTACACACGTAACGCGCCCACACACGGCTCTCGACCGCACCGCTCGCCCATTAAGGCTTTTCTCAATGAACGTGTACGCCGAAAATATCGCGGCACCGGATGACGAGCGAAGCCATAACGTATTTTTGTCATCTCCTCTCGCCGCGAAGATGCGGTTTCTCTTTCGTGTTCGCGGGTCGCGCGGTGCAACAACAGGAAGTAACCGCTCGTCTCGTCGCGACGACGACGAGACGAGATCGCGGGAGATTTCGCGCGTAACCAAAGCGCGAATGTTTTCAGAGCAAATAAGGGGGGAGGAGAAAAGCGCTTTTGAAGAAACGTGGAAATGATGTATCATGAGTCGATACCAAACGAATGTTTCTATTCCCGTACGATGACTGTACGAGCACACATGCACAGAGAAAAATAATTTGCCGGCCCAGCATATTTTCTGCTAGTCTAGCAAAAGCTTTTTGTTATTATATGGACAGCAAAAAGATTTGCTAAGAGTACTAATCACTATTTGCTAGATATAATTTGCTGAACCTACAAATTATTTTGCTACAAGAATGATGGATTTATATAAGTAGACGGAGAAAAATAACTTGCTGGTCCAGCAAAATTTCTGCTGACCTAGCAAAATCTTATCGTTATTATTTGGACAGTAAAAAGATTTGCTAAGAGTACTATTTGCTGTATATAATTTGCTAAATCTACAAATTATTTTGCTCTGAGAACCATGATGGATTTGTATAAGCAGTTGCAGCTTTGCTTCGATAGCAAATAAATTTGCTAAGGATACATTAATTTGCATCAATAGCAAATTAACGCGATTCTTAGGACAAATACACTCAACAAATTTTTTCTATCTTGACAACGAAACTACTTTTGCTCTGATAACGAATAACTTGTAAAATTAGTTACGTCAACTAAATTTTTTTGATGTCACTACGAATATGCAGTAGCAACGACGATTTTGCTAAAAGAGCAAAATTATTTTTCTTCGTGTAGTTGCAGTTTTGCTTTGATAGCAAATAAATTTACTAAGGATACATTATTTTGCATCAATAGCATATTAACGTGATTCTTAGGATAAATATACTCAACAAATTTTTTCTATCCTGGCAACGAAACTACTTTTGCTCTAATAACGAATAACTTGTAAAATTAGTTACGTCAAAATGTTTTGATGTCACTACGAATATGTACACTGAGAGAAGAATTTAGTAAATATTACCAAAATTTGGTTACTATTACTAAATGGTAGACGTAAATATAGCGGGCCAAAGCTATGGCAATACTTATTAATTAATTTAGTTCTGTAAAATAAATTATGTATTTGACAAAAGTAAAATTTATTTGCTTCCAGAATATATTTGGTAAATAAAACTTATTGAATAGTTGAGCAAAATAAGCGATTTTGTAATAGTTACAAAATTTTTGGTAGGTTCAACCAATCATCTGTAATAATAGATTGAAACGATGTAATAGCTCCAAATGAATGAATTTTTCGTTGTGCTGCAACAAAACATACTTATACTGGTAACAAAATAGAACTCGTACCTACTGAATTTTTTATTACATGGGATATAACAATTTCATAACAATTATCAAATATCTGTTCATAACTGTAATATATTTCATATTAAATATTTAACATTAAATAACTATTATTAAATTATTTAATTGATGTTACTGTGAATGCAATTATGTCATACTCCCAATCTATTAAATATTTGACAATTATTATCATATTTAGTATTAGTTATTAAGAATCCAACGAATTTCTGTAACTAAATGCAGTTTGTTATAGTTACCAGTTTCTCTCAGTGTAGTAGCAACGACGATTTTGCTAAAAAAGCAAAATTATTTTTCTCCGTGTAATTGCAGTTTTCCTTCGGTAGCAAATAAATTTGCTAAGGATACATTATTTTGCATCAATAGCAAATTAACGTGATTCTTAGGACAAACACACTCAACAAATTTTTTCTATCTTGACAACGAAACTACTTCTGCTCTGATAACGAATAGCTTGTAAAATTAGTTCTATCAACTAAATTTTTTTGATGTCACTACGAATATGCAGTAGCAACGACAATTTTGCTAAAAGAGCAAAACTATTTTTCTCCGTGTGTATGTGCGTGTGCGTGCATTTTTAATTGCCGCGTCACGGGAGAAGGATAATCGAATGCGATCGGTGTTCAATGGCAGACTGAAAGGTTGTAATTTTTGGAGTGAATTTGTGAACTCATCCTTCTTATCCAACGAGAACATTCTCCCATTGGAAAACAAATTCTTCCATTAGATCCACAAGATGAACAGTTCACAAACTCACTCCAAGATTTATAGACAACTTTTTAGCCCCCGACTGTACAGGGCCGCGTCTCTTTGAGCGCTTCACGCGAGCACGCTCCATGATATCGACCTCGCCGGTAATTAAAAGGTGTAAAAGCTACCCTTCCGGCTGCGGGAGTGATCGCGCGCGCGGCGCTTTTGTGCCCGGCAGCTTTAAATCCCGCGGCCGGTGTTAATTAAGCTCCTACAATCCTCCATTGTACGCGGGACTCGACGTTTTCATTTCTCGTCGTCGTCGTCGTGCTTATAACAGTGGAGCGACACTCTCTCGCTTCGAAGTATTTCCTGATACCGTTACCACACGGCGCCGATACACGGCGTGCACGCGATTTAGTTGAGCGTGAAATTGATCTCCATTTCGCCGTTTGTACTGTCGCGCGACAATGGGATGTATATTTATAAATAGAAATTAAAGTCGAGCGCGCCGATCGCTATCGCCGGAGGAATTAGAACGAAACATACTCGGTGCACCTACGAGACAGCGGGACGTGCCTCTTTTTATGCGCGTGTGCCTTTCCGATCGATTGGCCAACCGTTTCGATCCTGAAACTGTGGTATAGGGTGTCTCTCGGACTTTCTGTCCGTTTCTCCATCAACCTCAGTTAATCCTTCAAGTGGTAATTTCCGAGAAACTTTTGTGACAAAATGTTACATTCCTTGTAATTCACTCGAATTATTGTATCTTTTTTTAATTCATTGCACTCATCGCACAACTCTCTCTCTTTCAGCCTTACTGTTTCATTCAACATCTATTTTGGCACTAAAGAAAGTGAAAAGGGAAATTTCGGGCATCAGAGTCAAAGAAGAGGTAAATTGTATCATTAGAACGAAACCTGCTTAGCTCTTACTGCATTGTGGAGTTCAAGTTTTTAACATAGGGTTAACTCTCGCATGCTCGAAAGTCTGATGATTCCTATGGCGACGGGCGGACGACGCCGGCGAGGCAGTGTCAACTTTGATCTAGTCGCAGGCAGATAAAAATTGCCAGTCGTCTATTTGCCGTTGGATCTAAAGATAGCGGCGAGCCGTTTGAAGGACGATCTTGTCCCTCTTTACTCGCGGTGTGTTTAATTTCTGATTATCACATCGCCTATTATGTCGTCAAGTGTGAATACCGTTAGCGCGATAAAGGCCGTGCGAATCTGTCTTGCAAAAAGGAACAGCCACGCAAGAAAGGAAAAAGATCCTAGATATCTTGCGGCCGACATTAGTCGTAATCTGCGCACTTGTTCTTGCGTGTTGCGAGCTACACTGAGAGAAAAAATAATTGGAATAACTATAATCTCACTATATTTCGTTCATTTTATATTTCGTTTTGGCCTCAAACATATATTTATAGTTCACCTAAACATGAAGATATAGTAAATTGAACACAGATTTATAGTCACCATCTTATTACTCTATACACTGAGAGAAGGATTTAGTAAATATTATCAAAATTTGGTTACTATTACTAAATGGTAGATGTAAATATAGCGGGCCAAAGCTATGGCAAAATTTATTAATTAATTTAGTTCTGAAAAATAAATTATTTATTTGACAGAAGTAAAATTTATTTGCTTCCAGAATATATTTGGTAAATAAAACTTATTAAATAGTTGAGCAAAATAAGCGATTTTGTAATAGTTACAAAATTTTTGGTAGGTTCAACCAACCATCTGTAATAATAGATATTGAAACGATGTAATAGCTGCAAATGAGTGAATTTTTCGTTGTGCTGCAACAAAACATACACTGGTAACAAAATAGAACTCGTACCTACTGAATCTTTTATTACATGGGATATAACAATTTCATAACAATTATCAAATATCTGTTCATAACTGTAATATATTTCATATTAAATATTTAGCATTAAGTAACTATTACTAAATTATTTAATTGATATTACTGTGATTGCAATTACGTCATACTCCCGATCTATTAAATATTTGGTAATTATTATCATATTTAGTATTAGTTACTAAGGATTCAACGAATTTTTGTAACTAAATGCAGTTTGTTATAGTTACCAGTCTTTTCTCTCAGTGTATATATGGTAAAGCATCTTTTGAGAATATAGTTACATGTACCTATATTTGTCAAATATTCCAATTATATTGACTATATAAAATAGTTAATTTCTTTTACCATTCAATATTTGGAACCTTACCATATTTTTTATTTCAAATAATTATAATTCTTGGTAAAAATTTTACACGGGTTAGTTATACTATACTTATATTGTAAATATTACAAATATTATAGTAACATTTACTATAAAAATTATATTCCTAACTATAATATTTTTACTATGCCATTATAGTTCCAAATATCATACATTTTTCTCTCAGTGTACGCGAACGTCATTTAACTCTTCAACAATTCAATGTATTTTCCCGTGGCATCGCCCGCAGTTCTAAAGCGTTAAGGCTCACACGGAGAAAAATGATTGTGCTCTTTTAGCAAAATCGTCGTTGCTACTACATATTCGTAGTGACATCAAAAAAATTTAGTTGGCGTAACTAATTTTACAAGTAATTCGTTATCAGAGCAAAAGTAGTTTTGTTGCCAGGATAGAAAAAATTTGTTGAGTGTATTTGTCCTAAGAATCATGTTAATTTACTATTAGTGCAAAATAATGTATCCTTACACGGAAGAAAAGATTTGGTTGAATATGAACGATCTAGAAATTCCGATTGAAGTAACCCGAATTCTGTTTAAGTTAACAAGATTTTTGGTAGACTAACCAAACATGTGTGGTTATTTAAATAGACATGTTTGGTTAAATAATCAGATATGTTTGGTTAATCTACCAAAAATCTTGTTAACTTAAACAGAATTCGGGTTACTTCAACCGGAATTTCTGGATCGTTCATATTCAACCAGATATTTGGTTAATTCAATTAAATCTTTTTTTTTCCGTGTATGATAGCGAAAAGATTTTGCTAAACCAGCAGAATATTTGCTGTGCCAGCAAATTATTTTTCTCCGTGCATTTACAATCGTCGTAAAAGTATGGCAGTAAGAAGTAAAAATAAGAAATTAACCGATCACAGTCGAATGTGAGAGGAATAATCTATGATAGGTCAATTCCTTTACTTTTACCTCTTACAGTTATTCTTTTACAACCATTGTAGGTGCATAGAGAAACAGGATGTCCTTGCTTGGAAAATATCTCTACTTCTCACACGTTAATCTCTTTTCAAATGAGATTACGTAGCGTTAAACGAATATAAGTTACTTGCTAGATTTTGTACGTCTCTCAACGCGAAGAGAAACCCGTGTGTTCTTATTGTTCCAAAATAATTCTTCCCAAGCAAGAATGTCCCTCTTTTTTGTACGGACTGCTAGAAATTAGCGGCTGGCGAGGCGCGGTAATGGTCGTGCCGGTATTCCAAGCAGTCGGAAGCGCCCGGTGGAGAGAAACGTGCGAAAGCGCTCGTAAAAATCGTTCTATCGTGCCGGTGTGTTACGAGCAATTTCTAGCGTACGCGGGCAACCGCGCGTAATTAGCGTAGATTACGAGCGCGACATTATCGGCCCGCGTCAAGGAAATGACCTGCACAATGAACCAGCTACGATTACCACGACGACGACGACGACGACGACGACACGATGCAGTGCATCGAATTTCACGTCGCCCGACGTTGCGCGTTATTGCACATTACCGTTATTGGGAAATCCGCTATTCCGACAACTTCGCTCGCCGTTACCCAGTCAGCCGTCACGTTAATTCTACGCGGAAGAAAACCGCTTCCGCTGCACGCGCACTACTCACAACCTGCATTTTGCGGGTAACAAATACACTCTCCTGTCGGGAGCGTGGCCGGCTAGCGCCAAAACGCGCATGCATTGTCAAACTGAGAGACGTGACTATTCCCACGAATGTAACCAAACATTGAGGGAAGAATATATACTGAGAGGAGAATTTAATAAATATTATCAAAATTTGGTTACTATTACTAAATGGTAGACGTAAATATAGCGGGCCAAAGCTATGGCAATTCTTATTAATTAATTTAGTTCTGTTAAAATAAATTATTTATTTGACAGAAGTAAAATTTATTTGCTTCCAGAATATATTTGGTAAATAAAACTTATTGAATAGTTGAGCAAAATAAGCGATTTTGTAGTAGTTACAAAATTTTTGGTAGGTTCAACCAACCATCTGTAATAATAGATATTGAAACGATGTAATAGCTGCAAATGAATGAATTTTTCGTTGTGCTGCAACAAAACATACTTATATTGGTAACAAAATAAAATTCGTATTTACTGAATCTTTTATTACATGGGACATAACAATTTCATAATCATTATCAAATAACTGTTCATAACTGTAATATATTTGATATTAAATATTTAATATTAAGTAACTATTACTAAATTATTTAATTGATGACTGTGAATGCAATTATGTCATACTCCCAATCTATTAAATATTTGGCAATTATTATCATATTTAGTATTAGTTACTAAGGATTCAACGAATTTCTGTAACTAAATGCAGTTTGTTATAGTTACCAGTCTTTTCTCTCAGTGTGGCCGGCTAGCGCCAAAATGCGCATGCATTGTCAAATCAATTGGGAGACGTGACTATTCCCACGGATGTAACCCAACATTGAGAGAAGAATATAGTTGCCTTTGGTGTCAACTATACGCTTTTATGATTTTAATCACAAAAATAATTGGAAGAACCATTGTTTTAGTAAGGGTTATTAGAAAGATGGTTCTTCTAATTGTTTTTCTGGTTAAAATCACAAAAAAGTATAGTTGACGCCAAAGGCAACTATATTTTTCTCTCAGTGAAGTAGAATAGGTTGCATATTGGTAAACGTTCTTAACTTTTGGAACGTATCTATAAGATAACAAGTCAGTGTCAATAATTCATCTCCATTAATTACGCGAATTACCATGACTTGAAAAGTTTTCTACACTGAGAGGAAAGACTAGTAACTATAACAAACTGCATTTAGTTACAGAAATTCGTTGAATCCTTAAAAACGAATACTAAATATGATAATAATTACCAAATATTTAATAGATCGGGAGTATGACGTAATTGCATTCACAGTAATATCAATTAAATAATTTAGTAATAGTTACTTAATGTTAAATATTTAATATAAAATATATTACAGTTATAAACAGATATTTGAGAATTGTTATGAAATTGTTATATCCCATGTAATAAAAAATTCAGTGGGCACGAGTTCTATTGTGTTATCAATATAAGTATGTTTTGTTGCAGCACAACGAAAAATTCATTCATTTGCAGCTATTA